GATATATATTTTTCTCGTTGTCGCAAAGAAAGAAAACTTGGTAACACTGTAAGCATTTTAATCATTGAACTACAGTTAAAAGCTGATTTACTAATTCCATTTTTGATGCTTTCCTTTGAAGATTACTAAATTTGTCGCCGAAAATAGTAAAAGCATCTTCGGATGATGCATGTGTAAAACGTAAATTTGTAACTGGTACAAAAGTTGGTAATCGCTCGACTTTACGAAAGAATGCAGACATTGTGTCGCCTTCCGCCATGGGGACCTTGAATGGAATATTTAGAGCCTATTCTCTAAAATTGTGAATTCAGATGCAAGTAAGTGAGATCACGTACATGCCATTTTAGCACTAGCTTATCCTCGTCTGGTATTGGTAAAGGAACGGATTGGGCGAATAAATCGTGAACAGTATCAAGTACCTTAACAAAAACAAAAATTCAAATGAAACAGCCAAAAATGACCTTGCAACCTTTTGTTTCAAAGCTTTTTCTGACAGTTCACATTGCAGGAGACACAGCCTTGTATGACTAAAAAACAAACCTTTGTTGTCATAGGTGCCACCTGGCGTATTTCCGAATCACTTACTGTCCCTTTAAAACGTCAATGGTCCCAGTTGATACAAAACGCCCTGCCCAATATACTCCATAACGTGTACCAAGCTTTTCACATTCTTCAATAGATGATGACTTGAAGACTAGCACTCGATCGTTTAGCTGAGTCGATGTTATCAATTTCCAAATGTCGCGACGTGCCTATGATCAGGGGGATAAAGTTAATGTTATAAATGCTATCAGCTTAAAGGATTAAAGACCTAACGCAAAAATTATACTTACAATCGGATCCATTCCTACGGTCGGTTCATCTATAGCTATTAGCGATCCTCGAGTCAGCAATGCAAGTGCTATGTTGATACGCCGTTTCTGGTTTTCACTAAATATCAGGGATTAGTTATGGCAGTGGTATACTATACCGCTCATAACTTTTGCAAAAAAAAACCTGATTTCATATAAAAATTTCTCGCAAGCGTAGCGAGGTCATAACTTTCACAAAAGATTTTTCACAAGAAAAAGCGGTGTTAGACTTAACTTGTGAAAACGAACTCAAGTATGCCACGCTACGTAACATCTAAGGTATGGTAGATACGGTAGGAAGTCAACAGCACGAACCTGCTTGAAACTTTGCGTGAGGGTGTTGTATAACCCCTCTACGCAAAGTTTCGCACGGACTCCCAATGTTGATTACCTACCGTATCCACCGTACACCTTAGATGTTACTGTAGTGTGGCATACCTTAAGATTGGTCGTGAGAAGCTGAGTCTAACACCGTTTTCTTTTTGAGAAGTAACTATGGAAAAATTATGACAACTGCGAAGGATTTTTATGTGAGATCACGTTTCTTTTTGCAAAAGTTATGAGCGGTAGTAAGCTAGAATTTTGTTTATACTAGTTTGAGGTATTTCTAAGTTGAGTTCATGAGCTACTAAAGAGTGAAACTGCAGAAAAAGGACCAAAATAAAATCCGGAGACTAAAACTAGTGCCGAGTTGATTTTGGCCAATTTAAGACAATGTCTTTTTGCCCAATTTTCTTTCCATTTACTACTTTACTTCTTCAAATAAAAGACCAAAATATATGCATTAGCTTCCGAAACAATTGGCAAAACCAATTAGCTCAAACTTCGGTGCCAAGCTTCTAAAGCATAATTTACAGTTTTTTTTTTTGCAATTCAGCAAAATCATACCTGCAATGTAATATGAGTCTTCCACCGTGCAGCTTTAGACCTAGATATCCGATAATTTGGTCAGCTTTCTTCCGAACGCCGCGATATCCTTTAAAAGCAGAAAAAAATGTTCTGCTGAAGATCTGCTTCTAATCAATAATATATAGCTTTTGAGCATTTCATACAGGAATCGCGTTTTTGAACTTTGTGTAACAAAAATGTTTTTTT